CTATATCTTAAATACATATTTCAAAGTGTATAGATATTTTTAGTCCTTCTTTAGCAGACTCTGTTACCTGTTCCGCTCTCTATGTTAAGAGTTGGGGCATATATTTTTTGTCCCCAAAATGCAGTGTTCTTGTGGAGGACCTTATATTAGTAGTAAATCATATAACTTTGTTATTTTAGTTCAAAAATACCAGAGGCAGCTAATCTACCTAGTTTATAAGGCAGCTTGGAGAGGGTCATTTTAATGCAAGGTATGTTCCCCTCCATCTAGGTTCTGCCTGTCAGCTCCCAGTGAAGTGAATTGATCTTAGACTTCTAAATTTGACAAAACTTTCCCCGCCATGACTAAGACAGGCTTCCAGTTCTGATGTACCATAAAAGGTAGATAATTTTCAGAGGGAGGGACAGAGGGCATCTTCTAAGACTTGTCCCTACCAAGTGCCTTAGGGCAAAGCGATAGAGCTGAACTAGAGCTAGGTGTATGGGACTATAGGCGTATAACTTTTTTTCTATGCCCTGTTATACGTATTTCATGGAAGCATGATAAGTAAGGAAGCGATCGCGGCGCTTTTTACTGAGCGATACCCCAATCCTGGAGAGTAGCTGAGCATTGCCCTTCCCTCACGCAGTGAACCTGGCAGAAGCCGTGCTCTCAGCCCCTATTTGCTGGGCAGCAGGACCGAGGATCCTGTCTTCTTGTCCATGCGTGACGACCAAATCTGTGAAAGCAACTCACATATTTGCCCTTCTCAGTCTAAAAGTCGTGGTGGCGTCCAGTGCCTGTGCCTTGGCTCTGCCGTCCTGGAGGTTTTGGTGCTGCAGCCTGCTGTAGTGGTGCACTCGTAGCTCATGGGGTAATGTGCTGACCTTTCGGGGGGGCTTGGCTTTGCATAAGAGAAAACAGGAAAAACATATTCTCTTAAAAAGAACAACAACGTTATAGGGATGGTTTTCTCTGTGTGCGGTAACTATGTTTTCATGGCTAAAAAAGTTAACCTGTCCCCAGTAATTCAATGTGTTATCGGCATTGCACGCTGCTTCTCTCCATTCTGACTGCTGGTGGCGGAGATAGGCAGCAGCGCTGCTGGAGGGGAACTGTTTTAACATGGCTTTAAAAATGTTAATGTAATTTCTATATTATAGTAAGTCATGCCCATGCTGATTTTTCTCCTTATGATCATGTTCTGCTCATCTCTTACTCAGTTTCTGAACAGTAAGATATACTAAGTGTGGAGCATTTTAACGGAAAACATTTGGGCTCAGTTTGGTGTGGTGGTCGTTAAAACAGGATAGCCCACACTTAAGAAAGTTTATTTTGGTTATGAAAATTCTCCCCTTTGGATTATTTCCAGTGAGGTTAAAGCATCTGCATACAGCACAGTTACATAAAGAGTTGTTCCAGAAGCGTTTTGCGTGTGCTGCTGTTGCTGCAGGAAGGGCTGGGATGCTGAAATGGTAGGAAGGTGCAGCTGGGAGCTCTTTGTACTGCGCTGCCATTGAGCTCCCACTCTTTGGTAGCTGTTTATAGGGCTTGGGCTTAGCTTCTAGTGATTCAACCTGCTTTTCTTTGTGTGGTCAGAATTCATTCTGTTTTCTTCAGTATATGGAAATCCACTTGTTTTGACATGTAGATTTTCAGTGTTCATAGACTGTTTGGGGTTGGTTTTGTGCTGTTGCAGTGGAGTTGCAATGAAAATCCCTTTGCCGCGTGTGTTGTGCATCTGCCACAAGAGCATTGCTATGCAGCCTGGGTCTGCCGCTCTCTAATATTTTAAAACAGCATGCTGGAAACGCGTGCTGAAAAATTGCAGTGTACGCAAAGAAAGGATGCCTTCCCATTGCTCTTAGCTGTGAACAGGCAGAAGTGAAAGCGTACCTCATCTCCTACGCAGGCCAGGCATTAGCGTAAGCAGGAAATTGATTCAGTTAACCATTGGCGTGCTCTCGCTGTCACAAAAAAGCACTTTTTCCTCTGACGGTTTCCCTTTGGTTTCAGTTCAGAGAGCACGGGCGCGGGTGCTGGAAGCTAGAAGTGGAAGAAGAGCTTCTGCAATCCGCCCTGAGTCACCAGTGGGCGCTGGGATGGGAATTACGCGCCGCCTGCGAAGGTTTGGATCGCATCCCACCAAGCACTGGCCGGCGGTAGGTCTGGCACAGCGCTGCCATTTCTCGGCTCCTCTGAGCCCGTCTCCCCAGCTGATTCACACGGGCACCTCTCCAGCTTGCGTGAAGCATCGCCATCCACAGGCCCTCTCCTGGGACAGCCTGTTTCCTCCAGCAAAACAGCTGCAAACCCCGCAGCAAACCTCCTGCAAGCCTGGCAGTGGTGGCAAATGTCCTCAGCCTTCTGGGCACCCAGAGGTTTCTGTTCTGCCCACTGAGCAGGCAGGCTTGCCTTTCGCCTGAAGTGCTCTTTCCTGTGCCCTGAGGTGCCCTCAGCTATGCAACACGCTCCTGAGCGAGGCTGAGGTGGAGGAGGCACTTTCATGGAGATGCCGAGAGTCTCCATTTTTAGGAATGGGATCTGGGTTGGGTGCGTCATGAAGGTGTTTAAGGAGATAAAGGGTCTCATTTCAGCAAGAGAGTTGGAAGGCGTTGTACCACAGCAGAAAGAGATGGGAGTGAATGTGGTTGATTTAATGAGCAGCGAGAGCTCTGAAGGGGTTTCTGGATGGGATTTTGGGCTGGTGACTGTGTTTTTTCTTAGTGCATCCCATAACTTTGTTGCCTAAAACATCTGTAACATTGTTCACTACTGGAAGTAGTTCTGGAGTTAAGGTAGACCCTTAAAGGCAAAATGGGTAAAAGATGGATTTTTTTTTTAATGTGTTTTTACACAGTGCGGCATTAGCTTGCTAAACCATACCAGCAGATGATATAAGTCCTGCAGTGTAATAGGACTCAGGAAATTGGATGTCATGTAAATGGGACAGAGCACTAATAAGAGAGAGGAAGGAAACGGGGTTCTCACCGACCAACGACAGAATGAGTTTGTAGGAAATTTGTCCTGTCGGTAGCCTGTGCTGTGGAAGTTAACGGTGACAGCTCTCCATCTGCCTTTGAAGCAGCAGGCGCGCTCTGCTGCTGGCGTCTGCTACCGAGGCAGCCCAGGCACGAGGCTGGTAATCCCTCAGGCTGCATTTTGGTGTCTCTGGTTGATGTGAGGAAAATAGAATTGCTCCTTATTAAGCGTCAGAGAACCGGGAACCCCATTTTCAGAGGAGAAAAGGTCAGCTGTTTAAAAATGAAAGGAGTGACATGGACAATCATCTCTGGTTGGAAGCAGAAGGTGTTCATTTGGAGGGACCGAACAGGGTAATCTGCAAACTCCAGTTGGAATAATAAGTCTTTATGCCTGGAATACGATTAGGGCTCGTGTTCCTGTGGGTTACTGATGTTAGATGGTCAGTTGTGCTGGAGTAAGTCTGACATTCAGCCTGATGGAGGGCAGGGAGGCTCTCACAAGCTGGGTGGATAAATGCTGTGTACAACCATGAACAAGGGTGCTGAGTTACAGGAGCACGTAAATGTTTGCTGTGAAATACATTTTTGTTGGTTAAGTGCTTTGGCTTGTTTTTGAATCACGTACGTTATCTGTCCACAGGATTTCCTTACCCAGTATGGGATATTAAAGTAGAAAGGAAAATGGATGTTGCTTTCTGAAGCCTAGGGTGGCCTGTGGCGGTGCTTGAGCTGCACATAGCACAGTACTATTGCTGCTTTTGTGGGCCAGGAATCCGTTGCAGCAGGGAGGTAGGGCAGTATATCAGCATTTGGCATACTGTTTCTTGCCAGCTGTAAGGTTATTGATGCTGATGTGTTGGCCCTGCTTCCCTACGAAAGCAGCAGATACCCTCGGTGACCTTACAGGAGCTGAGTCAGAGCTCTCAGAGGGGTGCTGATGCCAGTAAGAGTGGCTCGAGTGACTGACAGGGCGGATGATGCACACAGAGGAGAAATAGCATCCCGCAGCACAGCTATAAAATTGAGCACTTCCCCCGTGAAACGATCTGAGAGCTCAGGTGCATTGTGCTTTTGTACACATCCTGTAAGGAAAAAATGTCTTCTGAATGCAAAGCCGCAAGAAATGAAAACCAGAGTGGCTCTAGGTCTTGAGCTACTTGCAAAAAAACTACTGCAAGATTGAGGGACTGGTGGCAAATCTCAAGGTTTGTGACTTAGGGCTGGAAACAAATGTTGCTGGTTTTTCCTATTAGAAAATTAACATTGCATTCCTGTGCTGTGTATGAGCTTTGGAAGGTTGAGAGAAAAACTTATGTCACGCTTCTGATTGCAGTCTTGCTTTTCTTTCTTTTTTTTCCACTGCTTCTTTCAGGCAGGACTAATATAGCCAAGAACTTGCACATAATTAAGAAAAACTTTGACAAAATAAGACTAGAGTTTACTGCTACAAATGAGTGATCAACGGGAGAAAGAAAGATGTCTAGTTAAGAGGCTTTGACTCCTGTAACACCTAAACGGAAGGTAAAATCCCCTTGCTGCCTTTTTTTTGTATGCTCCTTGCTTGAACCACAAAGCTGTCTCCTGCTTGAACCAGTGCAATGAACTCATGAAGTCATGTGGGTGGGCTCTGTGTTAAGTGTAGACTTTCCTGGCGGACATTAGGGCTGAGACTTGGCCTCTGCTTTCCCCAACCGTGTCTGTGACTCTTGTAATTTTTTTGAGACTAAGAGCTGCTGCAACAGAATTTAAAATAATATAAAAATCTCTATTCTGTGGAATAATTTTCAGATTGTGAAACTCTTTTCCAAAGAGGTGTGCTTTGATGCTTGTTGTGTAACCATCGTTTTGTGGTTCTCTGAGCGTTTTGTTGTTCTTCCATAGTTAGCACCGCGTTTCCCTCCGAAATCTGTCACACCCTGCTGCAGATGACAACCCTGCCGCGAGCAGCAGCCTGCTGCAAGCGGTAGCCAAGGCGGCGTGGCCATCAGTGAATATTTGAAGGGGTTCTCCCTGTGTCTGGTTCCCAGTGCAGCTCCCATGGCCTGTGACGAACCCGCTGCTCTCTCAGGCATCTTCACGCGCCAGAACTCTGCCAGCGCTGTCTCTCTGGACTTCGAGCCTGACGCTGACTACAAGTTTGTTGAAACCTTAGAAGACCGGTACAAGTGCGCCTACTGCCACCTCGTCCTTCGCAATCCCCACCAGACGGGATGCGGGCACCGATTTTGCCAGCAGTGCATTCTTTCTTTGAGGTCAGTGCAAACTCCTCCTGCATCCGCAAGCTCCCCACACTCCCCTTCCTAAAAAGAAGTCAATGCCTTCAAATCAGCAGTGAATGCCATAATAATAGTACCGATCTGATAAAACGCCAAAGGAGTCAATGGAAAGACTCTGTTGAACTCAATGACTGCGTGCTCAGTGTTTTAAAGGTGTCTTTAAAGACCTTACCCGGTGCTGGCGAGGAATACTTTGGTAACTGCAGGGAAGTCAGCGTAAAGAAATTGTTGATGTAAGCTTAAGCACTACTGCGTGAGATGCTGTTTCGGTCTGTGTGTCTAGCATTGTGCTCTTCAGATGAATTTGTTGCGTTCATGTCTCACAGTATTGGCATTGATGGTTAGATTAAGCTGTTTTCATTTGCTTCTGTATAATTTCTTTGATTTTAGTGGAGTTCTAAAACTGATGTTAGTATTACCCGATACTACAGTCAGATCACAAGCCTGCTGGCATCCATCTGCTTGGGATTTATCTGCAGGTACAAATGAGTTTACCCTGCAGACCTGTCTGGGAATACATTACGTACTTTGGTGTACCCGAGGGTGGGATTTGGCCCGGGAAGGCTGCAGAGGAACCTGTTTACGTGGATGGATGTCGCCATTTACCTGTTATGAACTTTAGATGCTTCGTGTTTGCTGCTTTCTCTGGCTGGGTTGCCTCCCTTTTGCACTGCCTCAATAAGTGTTTTCCCGTCCCTTATCTGGAAGCCTTTTAAGACAGGAGCTACTGGTGTAGCAAGGAGCACGCTGCTCGCGCTAGGCAAAGGCTGGCTCTAAAGCACACGATGAGATTTTTTCAGATATGACATTTGTGAGTAGCAGATGGCCAGAGAGTGACAAAGTCCTCTTAATTAAAAACCATCTCATTAACACTCGTAGGACAAACTCTGCTTTCTGTTATATATTCACTGTTGCAGCTTAATGCCCTCTTAGAGCTGTGGGCAGAATTTGGCTGTGTAGATGCCACACAAAAGTGTTTTCGAAGCACTTTTTTGGTTTTTATGGTATCTAGTACTGACTTCTGCCAGAGTCAGATTCTAGCATAGCCCAATTTCGTAAAATAAATCCAATTTTCTGTGGGTTAACATGACTCTTCTTTTGATCTAGAGAGTTGAATGCAGTACCCACCTGTCCCGTCGACAAAGAAACAATAAAAATGCATGAGGTAAGTGGGAGTAGTTTTACTTCAGCAGTCAACATCTGCATGGAAAAGGCAAGACAGCTAAGAACAAGGCGGCTCTTAGTCTGTTAGTCCTCAGGGGCAGAACAGTTTTTGTCTCTGAAATGATGCTAAGGGAAGCAGTGTATTCAGTGATAATCTCCCAGGAAGGAAGTATGGGTGTATGGCTAAAGCTTTATTTTATACCTCATGTTCTGAAGTTATTTCATTTTAGTCTTCTGTATTTCCAGTAAAGTGTCGAAGAGTTTCACAAAGTTTTAAATCTTCCAGATGTCTTTTTTAGTGGAGAGTTTATTGACTTGCTGTTCTAATGCCCCATCTTGATGGGTCATCTTGTTTATTTGATTGTCTTTGTTTTCGCTTGGTTATAATTTGTTGCCTTAACTATTTCCATTATATCTCATTAACCCTGCAGACTTAATTTACTTTTGGGTAACTTTTTAGAGGAAAAGATAAGTTCATGCTTCTTATTTTGCAAGCTACTGTTATTTATTTTTTTTTGGTAATGGATTAATTTGTCCTTATTTATATGCCAAGGCTTGAAAGTATGCTACGTACTTGGTCCTGCCAGAATGAATTTTCCAGTGAAATCAAATGTCTCCTTCCTCTCCCTCCTACTTCTGATAGGAAATTGTAATCAGACTGTCCACATGATTTTTGTTTTTCATTCGATGTCTTCTACTTTGTGCAAATTTTGATGGCAGTAGTGCAACAGTGAGCAGCTTTATAATGCTCCTTACAGGAAGATCTCTAAAGACTGAAAGTTTGCTCTGGGGGCTTAATTTGCTTCTGCATACACAACTGGGAACGGTGCTGTTTCTCAGAGTCTATAGAAGAGATATCCCAGCGTTGTCTCCATCCCAAAGGTGCGCTGCACTGCTTGAACATCGGAGGAGCGTGCACAGAGCTGGTTTGGCCTTTGGGGTCCATTAGCTCCAGCTGCTTTCGTCTAGATACAGGCAGGCTCTGGCAGCGGTTTTATAGCTCCTGAGCTACTAATCCCGCTGGCTGTGGGATGGATCAGCGTCTGTGGAATAACTATATGGGGAAAAAACCCTATGCTTATTAGAAAATTCATATATGTTTTAGTTTATATTTTTAGTATACATTTTCAATACGAATTATCAAGAACCATACTCGCAATTATGGAGTCTACACTTGTGTGCTTAAAAGATTTGTGTGACGTTTTGTTTTTTTATATTCTTTATAACATCCTGTGTGACTGCATGTGAAGGCTGGTTTGCTTCCTCTACAGGTATTCAAAGACAACTGCTGTAAAAGAGAAGTTCTCAACTTGCATGTATTCTGCAAAAACATTCCTGACTGCAATTCAAAAATAATTCTGGGACGGTACCAGGTTAGTTTGCTGGATCAAATTTTGAAGCCTTTGATTTTCATGCAAACTCTGTGTATTTATGATAAGCTAAATTCCAGTGACTGTCTTCAGACTTCAGAGTTACTGTAGCAACGTGGTTTAAGTACAAAGATTATGACTTAGCTATACACTGTAAGTAACAAACGTTAAGCTCAAAATATTAGCTTGTTCCAGCTTTGTCTTAGATTATTTGTTTAATAAGAACCATTTGCTTTATGTAGCTTTAGTACATCCACAGCGTCTGTACATACCTTCTGTATGCTTAGGCGCCACGTGACGGTTGATTCAAGAAAACTTGCCAAGGCATACTGGCCGTTTGGGCCTTTTTTCGGTATATCAATTGAATGAAAAGTGGAAGTCATACAAAGGACTCTCCAAATTTTCACATTCACTTTAGTTTTGAGGTTGGAAAAGGAGAAATTTTATGGAAGAAGGAGTATTTGGAGTTTTGTTTGTTGCCAAACTGCCGAATGTTTCTGTGGGTCTGTTGGGCAATTGGAGATGCGATGAAATACTTTGGGGTTTAATTTGCTGTTGCGTGTTGCAGGAGCATCTTCAGCAGTGTTTGTTTGAAAGTGTGCAATGCACTAATGATGGATGTTGTGATCAAATTCTTCGGAAAGACTTGAAAGAGCATTTGAGCCAGCACTGTAAATTTCGAGAAGAAATGTGTCAGTACTGTAATAAATATGTGGTGTTAATTAACATAAAGGTAAGATTATAAAGCATTCCCCGGGAATCCATAGCGCACGTTTCCTCTTAATGTTGCTGAGTGAAAAGTTTCCAGCATTGCAATGGGGCTTAACAACTCCTGAAACAAAATTTGGCTGAGTAGTTGAAGGAGAAAGTATAGTAAATGTGCTTTAAATAATACCATTACTGTTGCTGTCTTATGAACAGCAATGTGACATGGGGCTTGCACATGTATTTTTGGGATTACTTTTTGTATAGCTTCCTCTATGTATACTACTTTACAAAAATGCAAACCATCGCCTTGTTTTGTTTCTTTTTCCCCAGAATCACGAGGAAAATGACTGTCCTGATTATCCTGTGCCTTGTCTCCAAAACTGTTCACAAATAATTCTGAAGAAGGAGGTACTATTATTTTTTTCATATACTGTGATTCATCAGATCACACACGTTTATGAAAACCGAAAGTTGCGTTGCAGACCACATTGGCCCATGCCAATAAAACTTCGTTGCTCTAACTATTTTTTGTTTGGTCCTAGAAGGGATATATGTCCCATCTTACAAGTGAGGTATTCGGTCACTGCAAAGCATTGGCATTTTGCAGTATCAGGAAAATATCTGGCTTGCTTATTGACTCTGAATACTCATTTTCCTCTTTACGTGATCAGTGGTGTCAGGGCATTGGCCTTTATACACCCTTTATGCAGGCATTTAGATTTTATCAGTGTGGCAAGTGACTTAATAGTTATTTCATTGCAAGTTTCTTTGTTAATATATGCAGATTGAAAAGCACCACGCTGTGTGTCCTGAGGCAGAAGTGGACTGCCCGTACAAGCAGTACGGCTGTCTTGTAAAGGTACTGTTTTATAGATCTTGTTTGTACCGGGACTGGAATTTGTCTCCCAAACCAATCAGAGTAATTAATCAAAATAACCAATTTTTGTTCGTTCACAACCATTTCTAGTATTGGCTAAGATGCTGTACAAGGGAATCAGGACTGCCGTTCCCTCACTTTCAAAGCACAGAGAAGACATTTTAAGTGCTTGCATCAATAAATTTTTTACTACCAGCTTCAAGAATCTGCGTATCTTATTATTTTATTCTTTCACTTCCCCCTCTACCTCACTAAGGTTAAAAGAGGGAAACTTGCCGAACATGAAAACAGTGCCCTGAGGGAACACATGCTGCAGATTTTGGACAAGAACTCCCGGTTGGAAGAACAGGTAAGTCATATTTAACAGGCGCTCTTCAGCGGTTCTTGGCTGGTTGGAGGATGATATGAGATTCTGCATTTGTTGCCTGGTTTAGCTCAGCTACATTTTAAAAGACTGTTTTTATCGTCTTTGCACATCTCAGAAGGCAGAATAAGCTCTTCTAGTGAAGTCAGTCAATTAGATGGAAACCTCTCTGTGCTCAGGCACGTATATTCTCCACCAAGCACAGTGGGAGGCTCGTTGCCATCGCTCACCTCATTTGCTTTTGGTCTCTGCTTACAGTGCATACGAGGTTTGGAGATAGAGCATTTTAAAGTTTCAGTGGCCGGTCAGATCGGTCCAAAAAGGCGCCTTTAGATGCCCAGGTCACCCCCTCTGTAGAGGCAGCACAGAGTAGTGCAGAGCCAGTCGCAAGCACTTTTCTACTCGCGATCATTTCTGCAGCTCCCAGCAGGTGACACTGGGTGCATGCCCAGTCCTGCTAAGGTGAAGGCATCCAAACTGGTGGTTGACTTACTCTTCCGCTTGTTTGTGCTAAAAATAAGTGCCCCGAAGTGCTGCAACTTGGGTTTGAAGTTAGTATCCCTCACTGACTCATCTCTTTTACTGGTTAGACCTCAGTAGAGAAAGAAAATAATAAATGTAAATACATACACACAGAAACACACATGCACGTGTGTGCATGTTAGTGTGTATTATCCCCCTACAGAGCCGAATGGATCATCATACTGGGGATGAGATGCGAGTCTCTTTGCACCTGTTGCCACACAGATCTATTAAAGAATATGACTGCCTTCTGTTCAGTACTTGCCAGGGCTTATCCACGAATTGTGAATTAAGTAGTGCTGTATCTAGCTAAGTTAGAGGCTTTGCATTGTGAACTTTTCCACTTTCTCCTATATAGTCACATACGTTTTAATGTGATGGTTGTATATTTTGGTGTGCCTTAGCATTTTTGCTCTGTTTTTTCCATCTGTAGATATCTGACCTGCATAAGAGCCTGGAATGTAAAGAGATTAAAATCCAGCAGCTAGCAGAGGCCATTAAAAAGTGTGAGAAAGAATTCAGACAGTTTACACAACTGTTTGGTAAAAACAGCAACTTGATGGTAAGCACACAGGTGAGACATTAATTCTATCTTTTTGGCCAATTGCTTTCTTGTGTCCTTAAATGTGTTTATCCAGTAATAGTTGTTATTAATAGCAGGGCAATAACAAATGCTGTCTCCCAGACACTTCACAAGGCCTTCCTGTTTTTTTACAATACAGTATTGTCTTTTCATTTTAACCAATAAAGAAGTTTGGATATCTGATCTGGGCAAAAAGCACTGTATAAATCCTCATGGCCAGATCCCCATGGCAAATATGCAGGTGTAAATTTGAATAATCAGTTGAATGAAGTGATGCGGTGTGAATGGATCTGAGTAAGGGGTGGCTTCTCAGTCACTGAATGCCGAATTAATTGTGAAGGAGCATTTGGATAGGTTCCTAAGCCAGCAGAGTACTTTCGAATGCACTATATAGTTGATATTGCTGACATGCTAAAGGCTTCTTTATCTTATTTCAAATGAAATGGCCGACCTTACGAATGTCTTTTGTCTCCGTTTCCACCCTCTTCCAATGGCATGAACTGGGAAGGCTCTGGCCAGTCACCTGGATAAGTCTGCGCGCCTGGAATCGCAAGTGAAACAGCTACTACAGATGGCAAACCAGCAGCAAAGCAAATTAGACTTGCGACCACTATTTGACACAATTGAAAATGTAAAACAGAAGATTGCCCTGATGGAGACATATGATCAGCGCTTGGGTATGTTGGGACTTTCGTTTCTGTTCTGCGCGGGTGTGGAGTTCTTGCTGATTTACTGGTGGCTAAGTAGAGGCTCTGGTGCTGCAGTCAGTCAATTGCAGCTATTAGCCAGAAAGGGCTTTCTTCTTCTCGCTTTCTCAGACCAAGCCATGGCGGTGCATGCTGCGTCCTCCCGCCTTCCCCTACTCCACAACGTCTCCCGAATTCCTGTGGCACTGCAGGGCCAGAGAGCTGGGCTTCGTCAGGCTGGTGCACTGTGATGGAGGCAGTGGTACTATCCATAGTCGGGCATTAAACCTGGCTTGTAGTTACTGGTTTTCCTTATTCAACTACCAGCTGCAATTACAATTTAAAAAAATTAACAGGTGTAGTAGCACTAGTTAACAGCCCATACTCAGGCTTGAGTAGTTTTGCCAGCTCGAGTCCGGTTGCTCTTTGCATCCGGTGCTCTGGCAGTTTTATTTTACCAAGTGTGTGTCTCTTTTTTCCTCCAGTTGTTTTGGAAGGTCAGTCCAGCAAACACGATCTCCAGATCAATATTCACAAAGCACAGCTCAATAAAAATGAAGAACGATTTAAGCTTTTGGAAGGCACTTGCTACAATGGGAAATTAATCTGGAAAATCACGGACTACAAGATGAAGAAAAAAGAAGCGGTGGAAGGCCGTGTCCTCTCCATATTCAGCCAGCCCTTTTACACCAGCCGCTGCGGTTACAGGTTATGCGCGAGAGCCTACCTGAACGGGGATGGCTCAGGAAAGGGAACACACGTCTCTCTCTACTTTGTAGTGATGAGAGGGGAGTTTGACTCGCTGCTGCTGTGGCCTTTCAAGCAAAAAGTTACACTTATGCTTTTGGACCAAAGTGGGAAAAAAAATCACATTGTGGAAGTCTTTAGAGCTGACCCCAATAGCAGCAGTTTCAAAAGGCCAGACGGAGAAATGAATATTGCCTCCGGATGTCCACGCTTCGTGCCGCACACGGTCCTGGAGAACACAAAGAACACCTACATCAGAGATGACACTCTGTTTTTGAAAGTGGTTGTGGATTTAACCGACCTGGAGGAATTGTGAAAAGCGTGCCCGATCAATGTGACTGCTTTAACCATGAAGAAATGCTTTCTTGGTGACTACCAGCCATGCAATAGTGAATTGCCACTAGTCGTACTACTGACAATGTTTCGAGGCTTTTGGACTGCGTAACAGATAATGAATTGCCAAAGCATCAGCCTTTCCTTTTTTAACCTTTTTTTCAAGACTGCATTTTTAAGGCAGCTAGAAGTCCAGTTTGATGCGAACGTGCATTCGATCCAGACCTGGCTTAGTTCAGGCTGGGGGGAATGCTTGGCTCCCATCACCAGACTGGCATTTGGAGATGAAATTCCTCCAGTAAGCCCCGTGGAGCCCAGGCAGGCCTGTGGGCTCCCGTCCCTCGCACAGAACTGATACCATGCCCGAGCGTGCAAGTGCATTTCACCTGTCTGAAATGGAAACATTTCAACATTAGCACATTTGAATCAGTATATTATGATCTCTCCATCTCCTGGATTTTTGAAGCAGGGAGAATGGCTTCAGCCAGGCAGGGAAAACATTTGCCTGGGATCTTGCATCTTTTTTTTGTTTTAATTGTTTTTTCCAGAAAGCCCAGAGGAAGATGCCAATGCCTCTTACTTTTCTAGCCTGATATTTCAGCTGTATGGAGTACCCCCAGGTCACAATAGCTTTGTTATGTCCTTTCCGTTCCTGCCTAGTGCCTTGGGACTGATTTCCATTGGTGGTAAACATCCACAGTCCCCATCTGAAGTCAAAAGAAGCCACAGGCGCTTCTCACCTCTCAGGACACGGCCAGAAGCGGGGCACTCGGCCAGCCTGCCAGCCTTTGGCTGCGCTGCTGGAGGAAGAGGGGCAAAACTGCTGTACTTTTGCTCCCATATCTGCACAAAAGAGATGTTTTCTGGCCTACCAGCTCTACAGAAGGCAGGAAGAGCTTTGGATATCTGCTTGAGAAAAAGCCCATGTAACACGCACTGTTCCCTTCTGCTAAAAATGGGGATGTTTGGGAAAGAGGGAAGAAAATGGACTAGGGAGTGAGGTTGCTGTAAGAACCCAGTTTTCACAGGTAAGCAGCTCTGGCGTTTGTTAAAAGGCGAGACAGCTGCTGAGTAACGACCGCTAACTATGAAGCACGTCTGAAGATCTTACTTTTTATTCCAAGTTCCCTCTGAGGGAACGTGTGCATTGTTCGAGGTTTATTGTAGACGCACTAAAACCACCAAGATCAGGCACTGAGGAACAAGTGACAAAGAATACACGTGCCTTTTTAAAGCCTTTTGGGTGCCTGTAAGAGGGATGTAATTTTGCACACTCGGTCATTTTGTTATTACAAGTGACAGAATTTTGTGTCTCTCATCTCTCACAGACCAGGTAGTGAAACATCCAGCAACGTTATCCATCGCTCCTGCAGTCCACTGGCAGAGCAAACCTGGAGCTTGTCAAGAGACAGCAAGAAACCAAGCTGGTTTTAAAGCAAGAGTAAACTAGGCAGGATAAAAATCAAAACGGGGCACAGACTGCAAGGTATAAGGTAGAAAATTCAAGAGGGCAAATGTGGCAAAATCAAAAATGCCGTTTCTGTGCGGGATGTTGATATCAACTGAAATAATACGATTTGGGGATTGATGCTAAGACGAAGGCAAAATACCCTATTTTTTATCTGCGATCTCATTGCTAGGCATTTACTTTCCCCACGGTTTCTAGGACATAATTGAGACACAATATTTTCAAATTCGGCAGCGGGAGGGAAGAGACCTTAGTTATTTGTACCTCACAGCGAGTTAGCACATCTGAAATCTTCGTTTTAATCTAGATGTCCTTTTGTTGTACGATGTCAGGACATACTGGGCCACTGTAGGGGTTTTCCGTGTTCCCAGGGACAGATGCTGAGGGACGGATTTTATTCTTTTGTACGGCCATGACTGACTTTAAGAGTCATTTTGGCTGTACAACAGAGAGAATGAGGCCTCATGTCCTTAACGCTTCATTACAGAAAGAGCAAGCTTGGTTTGAAAATGGTGTGGCATTCTAGGACGTCAATCCCGAGCCTCGGACGTGGACTTCATGTCAATTATTACTTTAATATTTGTCATGTAACTTTCAAAGTGGCACAACTTGCATAATAACCGCTAATAACTGAGGGAAACGTACCACCCGTGTTTCCTGGGACTCTCCAGTACGTTAAGTGTAAAATACAGAAAGCGGTAAAGAACTTGGACAATCAAGGGAGGCAAGAGGGAAAGGATGCCGTCTGTATCCTGGCAAATTCCCAGCCCTCTCCGCCTCTACCACCCCAAGCATAAAATGGGGATAATAATACTTGCAGAAGCGTTAGGACTATTTAAATGTTTGTGACGAATTTTGAGCATGAAAAGAGCTAAGTATTATTAAACTCCATTTCTAATTGTTAGAGTAGGTGATGGCATAGTGACGTGGATAAGTGTTTAGTGTGTTCCTGGACAGATTTTGAAAGCATGTTCGGTTTTAGCCAGTCCGTACTGCAATCTCTCCTCTACCAGTTGGGTTTAGGTTTTTGCCACGAATACTCCTTTTAAAATTTTGAAGCACAAATGATTCATCCTGGGTGATGGAAACATCCCTTTTGAAATACTGCCTGTTTTATAAAGAATTAGTTGAGAAAATTCATTTTTTTAAAGACAACCTTCTTTAAATTGGTTCTTTTTATTACAACAATTGAGAGTTTTATGTTAAGATTTTCAGCGATTTTTACTACTTATAAACAAACAGGATTTTAAATTTCATCCCATTCCTAATAAAGAAAAAAAACGCTGTATAGCATGAATTGTCGGGAAGAATTTTGATGTTGCATGAAAAACACCAAAAAACTTTTCAATAATATTGTACTGGGTAAATAACCAAAAGAGCGTAGGGTATTTCTACATCAGCGTACAGTATGTTTTTAATGTATTTATTGACAGTTTGTAGTTGTTGAATATCTCTTACTATGATACAGGCATTTTTCTAGCCAAATGTCATCACTGTATACGTAAACTAATGTAAGAATAAATAATTTTACCATCCTTCTGGAGCGAGTGTGGCATATATTCCTTTTGGCTGGAGTTAAGCAGAGTTTTTAGAAGGATGTAGAATACTGGGTATTTGCACCCAAAACTTTGTTTACAATCAAAAAAAAGCCCGACACGGCTTTAGATTAAGAATCAACGTGCTTCACAGATATTTTGGTTTATACTTGAATATCGTAAAGCAGCTGCACATAAAAGTTCAGTAAATTCTAAGCTAAGCTAGATCAGATGAAGATCCATGAGGTCCGAGCATCCATCGGAGTCAAACCAGGATGTTATTTCTGTTTGGAGCAGGTTTGGGTTCAGCTGAGGTTGGATTTGTTTCAGTTCAGGCCAGTAAAATAGGAATTGTTTCAGTATCCCATGATTACTTCATAATTGAGAACATGGTATTTCAAAAATGGGAATGGAAAACTTGGCAGGGTTAAGCCCAAAGCGATAGAAATCAGCTTGGGAAAAATGTTAGCCTCTGACTCCTGTCCCTCTGTGAGAGCTCAGACACCCACTGAGTGCCACGGGGTGTCCCAGTTCCGTACATACGGCACGTAGGGTGGAGGTGACGGACAGCCTTAGCACCGCGCTGCTGCGGGCAGGGCGAGAGCCGCCTTCACACTGTGGGAGGGAGTGGGAAACGAGGTCCCAGGGCAGGACTCGAGCTCCCTTAGTTGATTTACAGCCAACTCTGCTTGACTCACGGCTCCGTGTGTGGAGATAAAGACGTGCAGGACTGTGTCCACGTACGCAGTCCTGTGTCCTGGTGCACAAACACAGGATGGCGGGGGAAGCTTGGGCCGGGGGGCTCTCCATTGCAGGAGCCGCAGCCGGACATGGCTCACCCAGAGCTGTTCCTTGGGACCTGTGGGACGTCCATGCGTCCCGCAGGGCCACAGACCATTAGGGCCAATTGCAGAGCTGAACAGCGGGGCAGCACCGAGCAGAGGCAACGGCCCGTGCTGGCCAGGCAGGGTGGGCAGTGTGGTGAGAAATGTGGGGAGCGGAGGACACTTCTGCGGACCCTGGGAAGCACGAACAAGCCTTGTTTGGAACAGGCTCCCGCAGCGGGAGCCGTTAATTTTCTGAACGGGTACATGGAATAAGTAACTTTTGCTTCAGTTGCAGGCGAGGTTCAGCAAAGGCTTCAAAACACCCGTTCAAGCCCAGCATGCAGGTCAGGTAGGAGTTCAAGCGCATATAAGTTTGGGCTTGCGTCCCCCCCTCGCAGGAGGCGCCTGGCCAAGTTGGCAGCACTGTGCGGGAGCCCCAGGCTTTGGGGCGGTGGGGGCAGGCCGGCAGGCTCCCTTTCCGTGGCC